TAATTATTAGAGAAGAGAAATTATGAGATACTAAGTCAATTATGAGATAAAAGTCATAATTATGACAAAATGTAGACTTTTTACGACAGTTTTGACTATTTATCTATTTATCTATAATTATTACTTTTTAAACTCACATGACTTTTTTATGTGTTGGAAATGGGCTTCCATAGAGGAGAGAGACTTGACATGATTTGTTTACCCTGCATTGATTCACCAAAGAAAACGCTGCATTCAGCAGACTGAATCAGAAGAGTCACATCTATTCAAAAGACAAAAACTCTTCTGAGGTCTTTATAACTTTTGATGATCCTTCCGATCACTTCAGTGTGTCAGCTTGCTGACAAAGCAGCTTCCCAGATGGAATGTTCTTCCGGATATACCGGGAGCTGTTGCAGAGACTGCTATTCTCCTTAGCGCCAAAGCCATAATGTGCTTTATTCATAAGATGTTTGCTCTGTAATAATACCACTATGTCGAATTTGGCTTACATTATCCTAAAATAAAGCTAAAATATTGATGTCTAAGCATTTCCTTTTTTGCACAGCTCTCTTTTTTTCTATCTTTCACAAGAACCGTGTTCAGACAATTACTGTACCAATAACATTCATGTAATGGGCTTATTGTGAGTTCAGTGCAATACACACAATCTTTGAGTTTCTCATAACCCCAAATAAATCCCATTGTTCTCTGAAACTGGGAAACCAAAATCATTTTTTCCTGTGTTAAAGTGTCGTAAGATACAGCTTCAGGCATTACAGCATTTCTTTTCTTTTGTAACTGACGTAATGTGATTATTGTACATCATTCCTTTATTTTACATAGTGAAACTGTTCAAATTGTGTAAATAGCTGTGTAATGTTTGCTATTATTTATAATGTTCATTCTTCCAGTTCTATGTATGTATGTATCTGTCTATCTATCATTCTGTCTATCATTGAATGCAGATTTTGCTGAACAGCTTGTCTAAATAAGCGCAATGCTGCTTTTGTCCTTTTAATGCAGATTTTCTATATGATCCCGTAATCAGAGAGAGAGAGAGAGAGAGAGAGAGAGCGAGAGAGAGAGAGAGAGAGAGAGAGGGAGGGGAGCGG